CCCCCCCCCCCCCCCCCCAACGACTCTAATTAGGGATGTCAATGTGTTCTCAGGATGCAACCGTATCCGATTTTGGCTCTTCCGGCGTCGATCCTCAATACTGTCGCCCTGGGAAACCATGTTTGGGAGTTTTGTCAGCAGAAATGCCACATGACTTCTTGTTGGTTGATTTTCATTTTCGTCTTCTTGTTTCCGAACCGTCCGGAAAAGGAGAAGGGTGGGGATTTCCATGGAGAGAACAGTCTAAACGGGGAGGGGTGGTGACGTGCATTTGATCTCGCAAATGGGGTTTCAAAGAAGAAATCACGAGTTCCTACTCGTAGATGACTACGAGCACCTGTCTTGTAACTTCGCTCACTGAACGGAATCGTCGGTTGTATGTCAGAGCCTTAAATTCGATGCGCATGGTACTGATAGGAAGATTAAATCTCTCGGTTGCAGTGCAACTGGAATAAGACCCTTCTTCCGCAGGTTTCTCACGACAGCGATTGGAGGGGAAAAATGCGGTTGGAAAAGGTTTCGCGCGGAAAGTTTGAATGGGATGAAGGGGCCTTTTGGCAGTGCACCCTGTGTGGAAAAACTGCGGACAATTTGAAGAAAGATCCGACTGGTCATTCGTGGGATTTCAAAAGTCGACTGACCAATGGTTCGATGAACCAGTGTCCACGTACCTTGTAGCCGGTGGATTGGTTCGAAGGCGAGAGGTGTCAGGCCAAAAGATTTGTATGGCAAGTACACAGAGAAACTGCTGTCTTTTCAATTTGGACTCGGATTTAGCCCTGCCCGGTCCCAACAGCCTTGCTCGAGAATCAGCCTCGTCTGAAACGCCTCCTTTCCCGTGGGTCTCAGACGCAAAAGGGGGTGGCATTCAACAATTCGCAGGAAACCCCAGAAAAATCATCAGGTACTTTCCCAGTTGGAACGATGCATGGTACCTCGTCCTCCATCCTCTGTACAAAGATGTGGTCTAACTCTTCGCTAAAGCAGGTGCAGCGTCCTGAAAACGGCGTGGAAAGATTCTGCACACTTTCAACCCTCAAAAGGCCTCACCCCCAGCACAGAATACGGAGGTTCAAGCGTGGGAGCGAACGGGAAACGGAGACGAGATTATTGAGAGAGAAACAGGCCAGGTCTCCACAATATGCATGATTGCGCAGAGCCTCAGCTTGTGTGAGTCACACATGCAGATTCGCTGCAACCCAAGCGGCCGGCGGTTTCACAGCACTCACAGCACTAGAGTGGCCAGAATCCGTTTCAATGGAGAGAGGCATTGGATTGCTTGGAGTTCAATGCGCCAGTTGTTCAGCTGACCAAGTCCCAATGTTGGATAGAGGGGACGATAGTGGCCTTTGAGTTGCCTGTCCTTGGGATGCTCCCGAGGAATACCTGCTCGGTGCCTAGGTAGGTATTCCATCTTGCGACGTTGCCAAAGGGCGCGTACTCGGCGCTCCATCCAGGGTTTAGCGTAACGCGGAGCACTTTGGTGTGCATCCCAAAGGTCTCAGTCGGCAGGATGAACCATAAGCGGAAACCGCAGTGGGATCGTCGGCCGCGAACCGACTGGGGGGGATCCAGTCCAATCAACCCACCCTGGGGGTGAGGGCAATGCAGCGCACTTTTGTGGCCACAATCGTTCATTTCATTTTCCAGGTTTGAGGCTTGGAGCACGGCGCACTAGCTCGTCCAATTGTGCATCGCGTGGGAACGTGTTTCACCTTGGAAATACACGTCTGTTCACAGGTTGGTACACGGTACACGGTACACGGCGTCGGAGCAACGGTTCGAGAGATGAACAGAGTTGCAACTAAGCACGACAGTTGGACCCCGGTTGTCTGCCTTGTGGCTAGCCAAAGCGAGCATTCCGGGCGGTTCCTGGTCAGCAGCGGTTCAATTCCACAGTCCCCTACCGAGCACGGCCTTACAGTCCTGTTAATAAACTCTACCTAGGTAAGTATCCCCTTTTTGGCGCACCACTCGTACGTACCTAGATTTAGGGTGTGAAGGGGGAAATGAGATGTGTAGAGACTTCCTTCCCCGATCCAGGAGAATCTGCCTTTTCCTTGGCCAATTTCTCACAACGAGAGTACCTACGTAGGAACGGCTTTGGATGAATTATGAGTCATTTGGTAGAGGCCACAAGGCCCATCCCGGGCCCACTAAGGGGGCTATCAACACACCCTATTGGCAGAGTGGCCCTTTCGCGTGCAGACCTAGTCCGTATTCGCTCTTAGTGGCTTCAAGGCTGACCAACGCCCCCACTCATTGGGCGATTGGGCACCAGGCCGGGAAGCGGCGCCCAGACTGCACCTCCGGCCACTAGGTTCACTTACGCACTCTGAATTATACATAATCTGGCCTTGCCCCCCCTTGTGGATGCCTAGACTCTCTTCCTCTTCTCTTCTCTCACCTCCCTCCACCATCATTATTCAACACTGCAACAACATCCAAGGTTTCACTGCGACTCATAGGAAATGGAGTCCTTCTGATCGCCTTCGCCTTCACCTCTTATCTCGCTCAGGCAAGATAGGATCAGTCACCATCCCAGTCACTGCTCCCATTCCCTCTCCACTCACCCCTTACTCACAGTCTCCTTCTGGAGTACCTGTGAATATCCGGCAGGACTTCGTCGCTCCCAGCGTACTGAGCTCTCCTACTCCAACCGCAACCATTCCCGCGTTGGACTTCACATCCTTCACCACGGATCAATCGCAACCATGGCGTTCCCCAACCCCAAGTACATCAACTGCATCGTCGCAGAACCAACAGCAGCACAACTTCAATCAGGACTTTCAGCTCTTCGCCGCTCCGGAGACCCCTCTCAGGATCTCTCAAGCCTCGCGTGCGCAGGCGATATCGAGTACAGCCCCTAATAGCCAACGACTAGCCCAGACCCGGCATCTCTCTATCAACAGCAGAGTGTCTCCTGCAGTCCAGTCTATCTCGTCTCCATCTCACGGGCATCTCTACTCGTCTCCCAATCACCGGTCTTTTCCCAGTCTAGCATTGCAAAACCCATCCACTCAAGAGAAATACCTGCGCCAGCTTGCTCATTTGCAGCGTCTGCCGCCTGTTCCCCCTTTTGACTCGATCACCACTGTTCCCCGCAGAAACTACTCGGTTCCTAACATCCCACAAGGTACTTACAACCGCAGCCCGACTCGTCGGGCGAAGTCACTAACCGTGTCCCCAGGCGATATGGCTACCGCCTTCGACTCGATGTATCTCCCGGGAGGCGACTTCAGCGCCTCCCACGACGATTTCCTGGACCTCGAGCCCAATTTCCAGTCCAACAACCATTTCACCACTGTCAATTCCGGAGTTAACGATGGCACAATTTCTCCAACCGATTTGTTCAAGGACGACGCAATGATCATGTCGGCTCCGCCATCCACGGCATTCCCAAACCTGAGCACTCCGGATTCGAGCTTCTTGGAATCCCCCGCCATAGCCAGCAGTGGCTTGAATACCTCCCCACTGGAAGATGGGGAACTCGATGCCCAGTTGAACTTCGCTGAGCTCGACAACATGGTACCGCTCTTCCCACAGAATTCCTTGGATCAGTTCGCCTGTCACCCCTTGTCGACTGCGCCTTTCACACAGTCAACTTCGAGCGCCGTGAGCTCTCGACCGGCCTCCCGCGCTCAAGAGACCGGTATGGTACGGCAGAAGTCCTCACCAGGACGACCGCCGTCGCAACCTTACCATACCCGCAAGCGTTCAGAGACTTATGGTGTCTCTAAGGCGTCTAAGCCCCGCAAGAGCTTGCCTGAAATCACCATTGACAGTGATGATGACAAGGAGACGGCAAAGAGAAAGAAAAACACTGCCGCTGCCCGAAAGTCTCGTCAGCGAAAGCAGGAACACGCTGAAGCGGCCGAAGCCGAGATCCAACGTCTCAGAGGCATCATTTACCGCCTTGGAGCCGATCCTGACGCGGAGAATCTGTGAGCGCGGTGGGAGGAATGTTGGATGGTTGTTGATGGGTAAGGGTACCCAGGAGTGGACTCGAGTTCCCATCGCTTTGAATGGTCTTGGTTTCTTGCAAATGCAATCGGACGACAATTGAAGCTGTGACTGCCAAACCTCTTGGTAGTTGCCGATACAGCAGCATGACGCTTGGGGTTGGGGATTATATTAGGCTTAAGCCAGGAGGGCTGCCTCCCCAAATCGCCACGTCGCCCTTGTTTTCTTTCGACGTTTCTGATCTTGTTCGGCTCACAGCGATCATTGGGGTTGATGAGATCTACCGGATAAGGTGGCTCAGGCTACCCTTAGCCTTTTACTGACATCGCTACGATTTCTTATCACCGACGACAATCGCAATGCCATTTGAATGGAGCGTAACAGCAGACTTTTGAATGGTATTGATGAGGCGTCACTCGGATCAGCTGACTTTGTATTGAGTTTTTCACTTGGCGAAAGCGTCGAACGGCTTTCTGACCGTCTCCTCTTTTGTTCTCGATACTGCGAAAAGGATTCTTCCTTTGCTGTGCCGTCCTACGAAGGGGGATTGACTCGAGGCCTGTTTAACAATCGTGTTTTTCTGGCGCTTTGTCATGTTTTTTCTTTCTCAAATCATGAACCATCACGGATGAAACACGTGCTTGCTTAGCAGCGCGGGTTGAACGGGGATGTATTCATCCACTCTTTATATCATGTATCTACAAATAGTTTTGTCAGATATGCATGGCTGGCCTTCTTCTGAAACGGCCTCGCAAACCTGCTAGGCGTCCTTCCCAAGCTAGAGGACAAGAAGGGGAGGACACGGAACGCAACTCGGTCTTTGAGAAACCATGTGCACAGCCCGTTCCATCGTCGTCGTCGTCCTCCCATTTGTTCCTTTCATTTAAACCTCTGTTGGTATAGCAGCAGCGTCCCTAATAGCACTAGCGGAGCAGCATAAGCCCCCCTGTGGAGAAGTGAGTGAGTGCGGCGCTGGCACTTGTCACTCGCCAGTGCGTGCCCTACGAGGCCGAAGACTTTTGAACAAGAGAGGGAGCCCTATTGGTGTCCTCGCCATCGACATATACTATTGGGTTATGTGCAGGTACTTTCGCCAGAGCTGAGACCTTTTCATTCTTTTCATCTCATGTTGTATGTACATATATAAGTATCGTATACATCCCTCTCTCTGTCTCTCTCACACTGTGTGTGTGTGGGTGGGTGTGTGGGAGAGAGAGAGAGAGAAATGGACAAAGGGAAGGGGACAGGAGGAAGAACCACGACGTCTCTCAGAGCTACGTACGCTGTGTACACCGGGATTACGTGCAGACAGGTGCAGATAGGCGTGGTCAAAGGTCGTAAGATACACCCGCTCACACCCACGAACATACCACATTATTTAGCAATTTCACTTATTACTATTACTATCCTAACACTTGGTTCTGCTTTGCATGGCTCACTGGCTAGGTGTTCTGTTGTCTTGTCTTGTTCCTGCTTTGCACACATGATTCCTGTTCACCTGCCCACCAGTTCGGGTCCAATCTGTCGATTCCACTCAAAACTGTGAACATGGACATTCCCACAAGATGTGCTCCACAAGATTTCCCGCAGTGTCTCGTATTGCGGGGAAATAAGCAGAGCTGATAAGCCGCCCATTTGCCTCGCGACGGTATGCCTGTTTTCCTTGCCTTTATCCACCAACAACTTTGCATTCGGGGGTATCTCTTCTCGTAAGGACAAGACTTGCCTAAGCGGGGTATCTGTACTCAAAGCACAAAACCAAGAAAACAAAATCCACAACTCAAGAAAAAAACACAGTTTCGATCTAGTGCGCGGGGGTATCCTGAAAGAGAGAAAATGCATAACAAAAAGAGTGATGTCCGAGTTTGTCGTCAATGGGCCGAAATAGCCCGGGGGTATCTCAAAAGATCGATACGGAAAACGGGACGGACTGATGTAGATCCAACCATGTCACGCTACCTCGAAACCACGAGGCCAGAGAGACGAGAAGGGCTGCGAGGAGGTACCGCCGGTGGAGTGCTGTAAGTCTTCTCGTCCCACCACTTCTCGAACTCAACTGGACTGGACGCTCGAGACAGTCGAGATGGATGTGACAGAGATGTGCGTGGAGTTTTGTCTCTGACCTCGTCGGACCTTCAAGCAGTTGCCTTGACCTCTGGGACCGCTGTGGCCACAACTTCGGGTGTGGACTGAACGGGCTCAGCGACAGGTTCGGCAGGTTTGGTCTCGGCAGCTTCGGGAGCAGCAGCTGGAGTCTCAGGGGCGGCAGCTTCAGTCGAGCTGGCAGGAGCAGTAGCAGCAGCAGGCTCAGCATGAGTCTTTTCCTTCGAGCCTTCAGACTTGATCGCTTTACTAGCGCGACGGACAAGCTGACCAATGAATTTGCCACCTGGGAGAGGAGACTTTTCCCGCTTCGGCTCAGCAACGGTATCGTCGGCTTCGGCGGTCTCCTGCTGCTTCTTGTTGAAGAAAAGGGAGGTACGGCGCTTGTTGTCGCGAGCAGGGCGTTCCTCAGTAGCAGCTGGAGTGGTCTCGGCAGCGGCCTCGGTGGTGGCAGCAGGTTCGGTGGGTTCGGCGCTGGCGGCAGCAACGGTATCCTTGGCAACAGCCTCGGCAGCCTTATCTTCTTTGGCCTCCTCTTTGGTTTCCTTCTTGCCTTCGAGCTTGGCTTCAGTCTTCTTGATGAAACCTATCAAGCCGCCCTTCTTCTCAGCCTTGTGAGCAGCGGAGCTTTCTCCAGCAGCGGAAGGCTCTTCAGCGGCAGGAGTTGTGGCAGTGTCGACGGGGGCTGTGACAGCCGCAGTGTCAATGGGCTTGTTCTCAATCGGCTCCTCGAGCTTGGGAGCTGTCTCAGAGACTGGGGGAACATCACTGCTTGTCATGGCATCTTTTTCAGATTTCTCAGTGGTTGGGCTTACCACTCGGTTCCTGAACAGGCTGCCGAAGACAGAGCCACGCTTGCCCTTCTTCTCGGTGGGGCTTGCCTCTTCTTTCTCCTCCTTCTTGTCAGAGGCGGCAGGTGCAGCTGGCACTGGATTTCGTTAGGACCAAACTTTCAACGTGATATGAGTGGCTTACCTGCACCGGACGCCGAAGCTTCGGTTGCCTCTGGTGTCTCTTTAGCCTCCTCTTTCTTTTCAGGAACTTCTGGCTTCTCTTCCTTCTTCTCAGCATGTTCCTCTTTCTTGCTGAGAAGGGTTCCGAAGATGCTACCACGCTTCCGCGACTGAGAACGCTCAGCAGCAGGCTTTGTGGTCTCATCTGCGTCACTAGAGGTGGCAGCAGCATCAGCAGCGGCCGCAGCAGCGGCAGTAGAGGCGTCAACGGACTTCTTTGGTTCTTTGGATTTGGAGCGGGAAGTCTTGACGGCGGCTGCAGCAGGGGCAAATGCAGGTTTGGCTAGAGCTGCATTAGCTTATGATTATGCGTTGACATGACGGATCCAGTCATGAAATCCACTCACAGTATTCCTCGACATTCTTCTTATAGCTCTCGCGCTCAGTGACGTCTTCCTTCAAGCTCTTTGCCTCTTCAATTGTCTTTTCAATAGCAGCTATCCAGCTGTCTCGTTCCTTCGCAGACGAGGCCTCAAAGCGGTGGACATGAGCACCAGACTTGAAGGAGAATTGGAAGCCTTCCTTGGTCACGCTCGAGGCATCGGACTGGTAGGAATTGTTAATGGCTGTCATCCTCAAATTAACATGTAAGACTCACCAAGTTGATGATACCAGCCGGGGTTGCCTTGTCCTCGACGCGCTTGGAGTAGAAGAGCAGACCCTTTCCAGTCTCACGTGCCCATGCAGCGTCGGAGTGCTTTGCATCAGCCTTCTCAGACTTCATGAAGTTGGTCAATGACTCGGCCGTGGAAGGCTCCTCTTGGAACCAGAAGTAGTGTTTGCTGAAGATGAATTTCCTGCAATCGACGTGTCAGTGTTGTTGACCCTCTGGGTCATGACTCTGGCCGGCAAGCATACTTGAAGAAAGTTGGCTCCTTGTACCCCAACACGCCCTCTGAAGCCGGCGTGGTCTCGGAGGCCGGTTCTTCTTTCTTGGCCTCTTCGGTTGTAGGAGCAGTGGCCTCCTCAGCGATAGCAGGGGTAGCTTCTGTCGTCTCAGCGGGAGCAGCGGCAGTCTCTGTGGGCTCGGCCGTGGACTCTGGTTGTTCGGCGGCAACCTTGGTGGGCTCGACGGCTTGCGTCTCCTCGACGGGCTTTGGTGCTTCGACAGACATAATGCTAGATTGGAGCTGGAAGTCCTGTGTACGTCCCGTGTATTAAGGTATAGAGGAGGTTATGTGGTCAAGAGAGCAACAACTTGAAGAGAGGTAGGATGAAGTGTCGAGAAGAATGAGCAGTTCAGAACAAAGAATAAGTTGTCGGAAGAATTAAGTGGATTTTGAGAAATTGACAATGGCAATCTAGGATCGCGAGGCTTTGGGACCGAGCAGTCACGTTTCGGGGAAGAAAGGTTGGTGAAGAAATAGTCGTGGCAGGAAATTTGAAGAGGACCAATTTTGTATGGAGGAGCAGCAAGGGATTGGTTTCCCAGACAGATGAAGGGAGCGAGATTGAGAAGTGGACAGGCAAGAGTGGTGTGAGATGGGCTGCGTCTAGTTTTTGTCTTGTCTTTATCGCTCCAGTTCGATTTGTTTGGGGCTGGTAACGGGCTCGTTGGCTCTCTTGGACGGGCTCCAGTCACGATGGCTGCGCAGGGCGTTTACCGGGCAAAGGAGATTTGAAGGCGCCCCTAGGCAACGCGCTACCATGCCCAACTCCACCCTTTAACCAACACTAGCCCGGCCTGTCCCCCCAGGCCCGGCTGCTCTGAATGATTTGGTGGAGAAACCTGTGGTCGTAGCCTGCGCGCCCCTCCCACGCTAGCCTACTCGTCTGGTGGCCTGCGGAACACGACTAATACTAACCCAGTAGCCCTCCCATTGACCTACTGGGTTGCCCTCGCCATTCCTGCTGCCGCCCAACTTGTCTCCCCGGAAACAAAATCACATCAACATTCGACCATGCCTCGATCCACGGGGATTTTCATGATCGTGCCTCGATATATTCGCAGTGACCGCGTGCAGCTCAAGCCACCTTACTATTCACGGAAAATTCCATCATTACAGTCAGCAGTGAGGAGGACCATTGAAATGGCTATCACAAAGCAGTCTACGCCTCTTTTCTGACGCCAAGCAAGCCTCCTGCAAGAACGTCACACAGCGTCTTGCGAACTTTGTGTCAAAGGCGTTGCGAAGCCCACAAGGCATCACGGTATGGACTGAACAGATGGTGCGGTACTTTCCGCCACCACGAGGTGTCCATGCCACCCACCGATCAGCTTCCATTTTCCCACGAGAGAAAAATCGATTGCCGCCATGGAACAAGGAAGAAATGGTCCAGAAACCGTCTGATATCACAAACAACCAGGCGTCCCAATTGTTCCCCTCACCGCTGCCACTCCTTTCAGGCCCTCCTCAATAGCATTGCACAAAAGAAGCAGGGGGGATAGAGTTGCATGTGACTCACAATACGATGGGCTGAACTCTGAGCGAAAAAGACATGGCGATATCGCTGGGAAAAAGGGTCGCTGGTCATGCGACCATCATCTCGCACAGCTGGCCACCTGCAGAAATGACGTGCCTGGTGCATTCGTCACCTGCTCTGGACGAATCCATGAATAGTTCTTTCGCATCGGCGGCCGATCCGAAGCACCTTGTTTGATAATCGCAAAAATCTGTACTTGTCGGAAGGACATCTTTCCACGTTCACCATCAGCAGGAACATGACAAGGAGGATTGGTGACAGAGACGAGTAGCGGATTGCGCTCTTCCTCATCTCTGCCGTATGGCCCGAGAATCCGAAGCCCAAGGTAGCTGCAGAGAAGGATCACTTACCTACTGTAGTGAAATAATTACTGCTCGTCAGCAGTGGTCATACCGGAGCAGGCGAAGATTCAACTTGATCGTTCGATAAACATTTCCTTGTCCCTGCACTGCCACAATCTTGTCCCGCAGGATTTCTTTTCCTGGGAAGGATGTCTGTCTTGTTCACGTTATCGTCACCATCGGCCGGACAATGGCGACAGCGTGCGGTATTATTCAATCATTCATGCATGCGTTCATGCATGGACTCACGGATACATGGATCCTGGTGTCGATCCCGACTCTCCAGGAGGGGCACGTAACTTGGACCAAGCCCACAATGGTCCAGATCACCAAACAATCAACATGGCGGGGAACCTTGGCTACGAGTACAAGTGGTTATGCTCAACGCTCGGAGCAGGTCGCAATTTCGAAACCATCTCCACAATCGAGATGGAACGGCGCGAATTTGGTCCCCATCCACTCCCTCAACGGATCCAACGCGAACCTGAAACAGCTCTGCGATATGCCGTACTGCTTGTTCTCCTCATTCTCTGAGTACGGAGCACTCATTTTCGACGCTGCGAACAATAATGGAATATCAAGGCACAATTGGCCTCTTGTAAGAACCGTGTTTGTAGGAGCAGTGGCCTCCCCCCTCTCTCCGTGTCTATTGGGCCTTCACCCGCTCTCCGTCTCTTATTGAGATAGGCCGCTTTTGTTGAGATACGTATGGAGTACGAGTCGGTTGGAAGTTGGCCCAAGCTGAGACTTGTGGCTGCTCGCCAAACCCTCAACCTCATCCTCATCCACCGCACCCTCGCCTCCCTTCCCCTTTCGCGCCATAGTAGGCGCCAGTTGAAAGTCTTTGCACGGGGGAGACGTCACCGGCGCCAACAAAGGGACACTAAGAAGTAAATGATACCTTTTTCAACCTATCTAACAATGAGGGTCCGAACCTCGAAGGGGGGGCCCACGATCCCGCCGACCAGGACCCGCTGCTTCTGTTAAGTTCGCTGCCGTTGCGCATCTAACCGATGAGGATCAGGCAGGGTCTAGAGAGTCTCACTAGGTAAATCTACAAAAGACGGGGGCCATGGTGCTCTTTCAAGCTCGCGAGATGGTACCTCGTATGTACCTCCTCCGGGCGTCCTTGTTAGACCGAGCAATTATTGCACAGACCCGCGGCTCTCCCTGGATGGAATTTCTTCAACTGAGCCGGAAATGAAATCACTCTCCCTCTCCGCTTCATCCGATGGAGCGGTCTTTATGGGTCATCTTAGTCGAACTGGACGAGGGAAAGTCAAATCAAAGCGGCGAGGGACAGGAAACTCAAGACAGTTCTCCCGAGTCCGGCGAATCTCAAACAACACGAGGAAAACACTTGAAAGAGATAAATTCGGTTTCATGCTCCTGTCAGTGAGCTAACTACCCGACATCGAGCCTGCCTCTCAGTTCAATGAAGGAGACACAACTCCTCCGTACATATCTCGTTCATTGCCAAAACGGCCGAGTTGATACTGGGTACAGATTTTTGATCTCTGCCGCGATTTAAATGTCCTGTCGACCTGTGCGAGGTAGTCGTCCTCATATTGGCTTGGGGGTTCGATGAATACCTCCTGCGCCAATTGCTTCCAAACAAACCCGAGCGCAAGACTGCTGATCACCCAACGCTTGCCGATTTTGTCTTCCTTACCTTACAATTTGCCTCTCCAAATACCTTGTTTGAAGCCGCCACTTCAATATGTACTCCGTACCGTGCTTGTCTCGATAACCAAATTGAAATCCCCCCTCCTCAACCCGCCGTCGTCAGGATGTACGAAGTAACGGCATCCATCCTTTCTTTGGTCAATTTCAAACTGATAACGAGCAGTTCTTGGGCCACATCCGGTTCTCGTATCTGCATCTCATGCCATCTCCTTGCATCTAGTTTCCACGTAACACAGTCCTTCTCTGCCACCATCGAGGCAGTGCGCGGTGTCTGGGAGAAAAACGGCAGCTCTCCGCATGGTCGCCCTGACACAATCAGCTCAGAGTACTTGCCCTGTGGCCAGTCGTAATCGCAACGTAGAATGCCTTCTTCCAGCATGTAGAAGCCGTCAGGAGGGTCCCCAACCTTGAACAAGACCGAGCCTCTCGGGTACACAACCCTTTCAAAATACTTCATAGCACGATACCAGAAATCTTCGTTCTTCTCTGAGAGATCCACAAAGATCTGCAGCATCAAGGGTAGAGGTTGCTTGAATGACTGCCACTTAGCCAAGCTGGACGCGTCCTCATCCAAAGTAGTCTGGGCAACTTGATGGAGGTGACTTCGTCTGGGGGAGCTGCCCATAAATTCCGCCTTGTACGAGGACGAAAGCTCCTGAGGCCGAGCGCGAGGCATGTCAAGGTGCCCTCCTATCCGCCTGGTGCGCCGCTGCTCCTGTTGACGATACAGGGCGGTCAAAAGTTTGTTCTCGCAGTGCTCCAGTGCCACATTCAGATCAGGGAAGATTTGGACGTTTGAGTCTGCCGCAAACAGGCCAACATTTTGAAGAGCTTGTCCAATCTCGCCATCCACGTCCAAGCTGCTCACGATAAGCTCGACTCCACGCTTCTGCAGTAGACGGTTGATTCTGGTGAACGCTTCCGCGGCAGAGAAATCAATGCCGTTAATTTGAGCCATGTCCAAGATGAGGAATCTCAGAGGTTGATCCCTGAACGCATCTTCCTCAAGAAGGGCTCGAATTCTGTTCTCAACCCCGACAATCGTGCCAAAGAACAAATATCCAGCCAGCTTAAGTAGAAAGATCTGTTTGCCTGTTTCTCGCAAGAACTTGAGCTGGACTGGCGGTCGTCTGACGAGAGACTTTGCGACTTGACCAGAATAGGTGGCTCTGATGGCCGTTCTTCGAGACGTTTGTACAACAAAACTCAAAGCGGCAAGCAAAATGCCAACGAGGATCCCAATCACGAAATCCCACACTCCCATGGTGATGACAATGATCAAGACGGTGGCGTATTCAAGCTTGTGAACTTTGCCCCATGTTCCGACAAGAGCTTCTTCAAGCAACTCTATACCTAATAAGAAAATCAAGGCACCAACAACCATAATGGGAATGTAACCAATAATAGCCGGGCCAGCCAAAAGGATACCGACGGTGCAGGCTGCCAGCAGCAGCCCTGCAAGACGGTCATTGCCACCACTGTCCATAAATAGGAGACTGTTGGTATATACGAGATAGTTCTGTACACTGCCGAAGAGACCACTGAGGCAGTTCGAGACGCCATGGGCGATCAGCTCGCGGTCGACGCTCAGGTTATCCTCGCCGGTAGAAATGCCCAGAGCGGGCACGTTGATTGGGACATGCAAGACGCCGAAGAAGGTCAGTGCAAACATCGCCGGGATAGTATCCGCAAGAGCTCCCCAGTTGACCGCGTTAAAGTCGTACAGCGTGTAGAAATGATACCAGGGGTTCCCGGCCGGTGGGGGATCGAAAACCCAGCCTCCAGTACGCAAGGTGTCCATTGATAGGCCCAAAGCAAACTTGAAGAAGTAGAAAATCGCAGCAACCGAGAGAAAGTAGCCGCCGACCAGCAGATTTGATTTTACAAAGCGTTGTACAATGAGTAAGGTGATGGCAAGCGCCAAGGGTACGGTCCACAGGGCGATTGTGTCGGTGCGGAACAGCTGTTTGAGGGTGTCAAGGTTGTACTCCAGATTGCCAGGTAGCCGAGCAGAGACTTCGATGCCAGTAGCGACAAGGAACCAGCCAACACCTCCGATACAGCCAATGAGAATATGGCGCGGGAAGAAACCGATCAAGGATCCTAGCTTGCAAGCTCCCATGAGGAAGAACACCACTCCAGTTAGAACGGAACTGATGGCAAAGGACAGTATCGTGGTGGCAAGGACAGCCTTGGGGTTCTGCTCCCCCACCTTCTGGAGGATGGTAAAGGCCATCTTATGGAAGAAGGGCACAACCTCAATCATTTCGGACCCAATGCCTCCTCTGAAGATCGAGCCTCCAGAGGAATAGACGACCTGGGCAACGATAGTACTGACATAGAACATTGCAATGCCGTCAGAGCCGAGACCATCAAAGATTTCGTTCCCAAGAGGAAACAGAATCATGCCGTAGGAGAGAGCGTCGAGGATGTTCAGGAGCAAACCCAGAAAGACGGCTGGAAGGAGACTGACGGGGTGTGCGATAGCTTCCCGATATATGGCACGGGCGCTCCACGTCTTGGGGTGTGAGAGAGTATAACAGCATGAGCGCATTCTTCTCGCGGAGGCCCTGCATCTCTGGATGAGACCATCCTTGTCCGAACCGTACTGTCGCTCGACGTCTGTATAATGGCCATACTTTAAAGGCTCTGGCCGCCGTTCACCAATGAGGGCCGTATACTCGTCTGGCTGGGTGGGCTCCAGCCTACTCGATGTGGGACGATCTGGCATTGCCTTGTCGACACCATTCGTGTGCTGGTGACGCTCCTCCTCTTGTCCCGTAGAACTTTGTATCATTGCCGTCAACTCGGAGATGGCTGGATCGCCAGAGTGGTCATGTTCCGAGCCCTCTGGAGTTACAGGCTCGGACACCTCTTCGATCACTTCAGGGTAACCATCATCAGAGGCAGCTGACGAAGAGGGCGGAGAGCTTCCAAGATGTGAGGCGTTCTCGGAGAGAGCAAACGCAGCCAGTTCAGCAGTCTGATCTCTTAGGCCGGCGGAAGAAGAGTACTGAGCCGGATCCAGCTGACCATGGAAAGAACGGACATAGAAGGATCTGGCGGGAGTTTTCTCTGCGGGCTGACTAGATGAAGAGCTGGCTCGAGGGCGTTCAATCCAAGGACGGTCCGCAGCAGCCAAGAGACTGCTCTCTTCGATACCTTGATCACTATGAGATCTTTTCAAGGGAGAGCTGGGCATCGGAGCTGGTCGGCTCTTGGAGAAGTTGGAGCTATGGCGGGCGTGCTGTTTGCTCGAAGAGGTCGTCGACATTTTAGTTGCTCATTAGGATATCATGATGTCCCGCAATTCACATGCAAACTCCACTACGACTGTCCCGGCTCTTTCCAAAAGAAACACGCACCGGGGGCTGGGCCTAAGGAACACTATGCTCATTCGTGAGTGCTAGTCCGGAGCCTGTAATCGTCCCTCGTGTGACGCGAGACGGTCAGGGAATGAGGAATATAGAGCGGGACAAATAAGGTCGACCCGAGGGTAAGAGGCCAACACAGTGAGGAAGACGCAGTTCGTGTTGACGCAAGCTTGCTCCTCGTGTTGTAGGTGGACGTAGCTCTGTGGGTTCCTGTCACCGCTGTGGACTTGACTCGGGAGCGGCCTCGCAGGCTTGTCCTAGGTGCGGACTTGGTCCTCACAACTTAATCCATCATGAACCATGTCAGCTGCTGAAAGTAAAAAATTTTTTACCTTCCAAAATTTTTTTTCCCTTGTTGCAGTTCAGTGGAGACGGGAGGCAAGAGAGCATGGCGGGGCAGAAGACGACGAGCAGGGTTTGGTCAGGGAGGCTTTGAAGCTAGTGGCGGAAGGTGTCAACAGCATGAAAGTACTTGGTACGGAAGAATTGGATGACCTTTGAAGAGAATCCAAGCTCAAAAGAGACAGCATGGCCAGCTAGATGAATGCCGGCCCACTGAGGACTAGTGAGTAGGAAAACAAAAGCCCTCGAATCGCAATGGGTACGGAGTACCTCGTGCATGGGTGGCAGTGGCATGAGGAGAAATTGTAAGTGGATTGACGGCACCAACGGCCTATTCCCCGCCATTGCTGTTGCATGCAGCACCTGCAGAACCCATTGGATGTCTACCGGGTACCGGTAGGTAGGTACTGTAACTGCCCTCACTAAAGCCCCTCTTTGTGCCTGGGCCACTGGTTGTAGTGCCCCGGTGCCCCCTCTCAAGCCCCTCTTTTACTACATCAGTCCATGCTGCAGCAACATGCATGCACATCACTCGTGTGTCACCCTTACCATGCTTGATCTTCACCTGACCTCAATTGTCAACGTCCTCGCAACATGTTCCACCTCGCCTACTAGAAAGGGCCACGCTAAAATCAATGCTCTATACTCTTCTTGTTATGCTCTTATGTATGTTGACGTCCTCCAGATTAATTGACCATCTCAAAGCAGGTTGATACTAAAAAATGCTCACATTGAGTTAGACTTCACTCCTCCAAAGCTCTGCGCGCGCCGTCAATGCTTTAATTCTTCCAGCCAAACGACCAGCCTCTTCTTTATAATCACTCCCACAAGCTTCCCGCTCCCCTCTTCGGTGACGCACAAATGCCTGAGGCCAAGCTTGCCAAACATCTCCACCACAAACTCCATTGGAGCTTTTGCACAGATCGTCAACGGTGTCCGGTCGATGAACTGTGACAGATCAAGCTCTCCCTCGTGCTCCATTTGTACTTGCGTACCAGTCACTGGGGGCAGAAGACGGACAACGCAGCCCGCAGGAAACGCGTGACCCAGAGTCTCCAGCCCGAACTCGAGTTCTCCTTCCGCTAGATAGCCTCGTAGCATAGCTCTCTGAACAAGGACAAGTCCAGCGTCCATAAGGCCTCGACGGCGGAGTTGGTGCAGCTTCTCTGCCAGTAAAACACGGGGGACGATGCCGCTGTCCGGTACGTCGACCGTGACCTCACGCATAGTTTGGAGAGGAGGAATCAGCTCCTCGGCGAGATGAGCATCCTGCTGAACTAGCTTCATGCTATGATCCAAATCGAGGAAAGGATGCCCTAGGACTGTCTGTGCAAGATCGTACACACCCTCCTGCTCAAGGGCATCTGCAACCCACTTGGCCACCATGATGCCGATCATATTTGGCACGACGAACTCTAGTTCGCCCGTCAACTCGAACATGATAACCGCAAGCGAAATGGTCATCCGACTAACGCCAGCCAAAAAGGAACCGGCACCAACCATGGCGAAGATTCCGGGGGAGATAGACCGTGCCAAGAAAGGCATTTGGCCAACAAGCCTGCCGAAGAAGGCTCCACCGTCAAGAGCAGGAATGATGATCCCCGAAGGCACCTTGATACCAAACGTTATAACTGTCAGGACAAGCTTGACAAGCGTTCCGTAAGTCAGCCAGCCCAGGTATTTCGGGGACGGCGAAGCGTGTCCTTCCTGCACACAGACGTAGTCTGTTCGTGAGCCTTCGCCACAATCGACCAGAAGGTTCTTGATAATGACATCGCCAGGTTCTCGCGCCAGAGGGTTTGGATACTGCAAAAGGGCCGTGGCGAGGACAACCAAGAACACCTCCAGAACCGGGTAATTCTTGATGATCCTGTATTTGCGGAAGGTGCGAGACCACAGGAAGTTGACCTTGCAAAAGATGCCTCCAAAGACACCCCCAGCAATACCCAAGACCGCGAATACAACGTAATGATATGGTTGGTAGGTGGTGCCGTAGTTGGTCTCGAAGAGCACAAGCTTGCCGGTGCCGGTCGGATTGAGCGCTTTGAGTGTCATGGCCGCGAAGAGAGAACAAACAAACGCTCGCCAAAGCACTTTGCGTGGGAAATATGTCGAGATTTCTTCATACGCAAACAGCACGCCGCCGATGGGTGCTCCGAATGCGACAGAAAGACCACTCGAGCAACCAGCAGCAAGTAGTTCTCGGAGCTTACGACCATTCTCTCTATACTTGTGGAATCGCATACCGACAAGGTATGCGACACACGTGGAAATGTGCACGAAAGGACCTTCCTTGCCCAAACACATACCTGTCGCAACAGCAAAGACCGAACCGACGGCCTTCACAACCAAGACATTGAGGTCCAGGAAATGTGGAATGACAAAACCAGACAGAATCGTCTTGATCTCGGGGATACCGCTCCCAGCTGCCATGTAGATGGACTTACCCGCAGCTGTAGGCTTCAGATTTTCGCCGTTCGCTTGGTTGCTGTTCTTCCGCATTGGCCCCATGTCCCCAGCGCCTGGAGCGGTTGCTGGAAGCGCTCTTCTCGTAGTCAACGTGACTGTTCCACTGATGATGCCGAAGAGCAGAGCAAATCCCACGTATATCCCGAACCCATACCAATAATTCCTCGTCCAATACTTCCATTCCAGGCAGGCATCACCAGTATCGGTGAAGGGCATCAATGGTGATTTCCCCGAGCAGCAAAGTTCTTTGCTTGCGAACGGGTTGTTTTGGCAGTATCCTGTCTTCCAGTCGCTGACGGTGGCAACAGCGATATCCACCAGAAAAGCAACGCATGCTGTTAGAGCGCCAATTACCGCAGCTGCAATCCAACCCTCACAAGAGTCGAACGCTGCCATAAGCCCATTGCGGATACCATTCCCGCTGTGCACGGAACGATGTCTAAATGAGTCTTTGATCTGTAAAAAGGTCAAGTTGAGTTGGTCAATCGTAGTCGATCTCTCTTACCAAATCATGGAGCCAGTCAATTGTCGTATAGTCATTGTACGGAAGACGTTCTCCCACGGCGGTGTCGCCCAGTGCCTGCTCTTCTTTACTGATGTGGGAAGAGACGACCGAGGGAGTGTCTGCTTCTAGGGCGATGGAGTTGACCCTCCTGTCCCGAGGGAGGAGAAGCGTCCTTTCATCTGGTTGCTCCTCATCCCCAGCCATGTTTGCTCACAGAACAGCAATGAAGCTGCAGAAAGCCCGGGCACTCAAAAGGCTGCGACATTTTGACCAATGTTCACGGATTTTACAGGCTCTGTGAAAGCGATGACGCTGTGCCTTCAAGATTACCAGCCGCAATCTGCATCTCCGGGGAACCTCAGATCTAGGAGAGACCACTGAGAAGTGTTGATTCTGGCAGTCACTGATAAGCTCAACTCTGGCAATCGAGTTCCTGAAAGTGCTGTGTAGATAAGAAGCAAGCAAGATAACGGTGGCCTCGGCCTCACACTGACCCTTTCGGGTGAAGTCGTCCGGCATACCTGCTACTTTGGTCACATGCTACGACTTGATAACGCATCAATGCCACCAGCGGCACTATTGCATCGGGCGCCAGTGTCTTTCCAGAAGTGGCACCGGTATGCCTCGCAGCGTCATGATAACCACCAGTATTACTTCTTGCGATGGGTGATACATACTTCGCTTAACTGCTGGTGAAAGAGAGCATCAGAGCGGAGCTGCATACACGGTGGCCAGCACCGCCCGATGCATGCTTGCATGCACACAGTTGGAGCGGGGCTGAATTTCAACGCAAAAGCCAAACCGACCCTTGAACCCAGCCATCGGCTTCAGAGGATAACACGGGGTGAACAGAGAGACAAGGGGGAAAAAAATTACTATACGAGGACGGAATCGTCATCTTTAGCTTACGGAAGATTCCATGGAGGCCCGAAGGAAGACCGAGTGCTGCGGTTGTTGTCTGTGATGGTCGAGACTCGTAACAGCCGGGACTGCGGGCATGCAGGCAAAGTTCCCTTGCACAGGAATTAACCATCCGTCCATGTAGTTGAAAGTAGGTGCTTCATAGCGTGACATTAGGCCCCTCTATTAGCCCACCAGCTGTGTGGCCTAACGCTCCAAAGAGGAGTGAAGGCCTCTTCTTGGGAAATTTGGTCGCGTGCCCTGCTTTCCCATGTTCCGTCTAGCCGAAAGTTAAATCTGTCCATCGGCGATTTCACTTGCTCCAGGCCATCAACCACCAAGATCCAGCACGAAGGGATCGTGTTCTTACTGTTGACTGAGTGTAGCATGTATTCATTCTGAAAAGGCTCTTGAAGAGTACGGCCGTGTAGAAAGGAGGCTAGACATGATGCCTCTCCAAAACAATGACACCCAAATATACCCCGCTCAAGGTGAACAGAAAGAGCAACCGAACGACATGTCCCATTTTATCCCAAGCATCGTTCACGCTTGCAAGAACATAAACAGCACAAGCGCAAGGCCAATAATAACGGCGGCGCTTAGGCCGCCAACGAGACCCCAAATAAAAGTCCGACGCAGTTGCCCCTCGTGCACTATCATCAGCGAGTCCGAGTCTGACGACTC